TTACAAATGAATCACTTGAAGGATTACCCTTGAGAGAGATCATGGAAAGAGCATGGACTTAATGTCAAAATACCAAGGTTTCAAACCCAGTGGAGTGACCTTGGGTGAATTAATGACCCATGGAGCCCCAGCTGTCTCATCTAGAAGACAGGCGAATGACATACTCAGAGTGTTGTTTTAATAATTATGTGAGACAAGGTACTTGCAGTATATGGCACATGGTAGGTGTTAAATAAGTAAGTCTCACCACCCTTGCAATCTCTTTAGCCTTGGAATCTTAGAATACAGAGCTAATGATGGATGCCTAGAAACGAGACGATGCTTAAAAGAACATTACCTACTGGGATGATGAAGGCACGGAAGGCATTTAATTTCAAAAAGAGAAGTGTTTTTGTTTGTTTAGGGCAGGGGAGTGGGGGTGGCAGAGGTTGAGTAGAGGAAGCTGAAAGCTCTATCTCCCAGAATAGAATGGGATTTAAGACAGGAGAGTTTTTGGAAGCTGGGCTCCACTTTGACATAACCAGCAGGCTTCTGCCAGACTAGGGAATGGCTTACTCAGGAGTAGCAACACCCTCAGCCCAAGAGGTCTTCAAGAACTGTCCAAGACAGACAATTTGGTGGAAGATGCTGCAGAGATAAAAACATCAAAATACAGGTAAGACGTTAAATGAGTTGCTGGTTTAAAACCCATTCTGCCCTGAAATTCAATGTCAATGAATGTCCATGTCTAGTGCCGTAATTCAGTCTCAAAAAAAGAAGAAGAGGAAGAAGAAAAAGAAACTAGAGGGAATTTTTCTGTTCAGCATAATTTATAGCATTTGCATTTTAATCATTTTTTCCTTTTATTTGTTTTTTTTTAATTGAGGTAACATTGGTTTATAACATTATATAAATTTCACGTGTACATCATTAGATTTCGATTTCTGTATAGACTACGTTGTGTTCACCACCCAAAGACTCATTACCATCCATCACTGTACATATGTGCCCCTTTACCCCTTTCACCCTACCCCCTACCCCCTTCCCCTCTGGTAACCACCAATCTGATCTCTGTATCTATGTGTTTGGTTGTTGTTGTTGTTTTCATCTTCCACATATGAGTGAAATCTCATGTTATTTGGCTTTTTCAGTCTGACTTCTTTCACTTAGCGTAATACCCTCAAGGTCCATTTATGTTGTCACAAAAATATATAAAGAACTCATACAACTCAATAACAATAAAACAAACAACCCACTTAAAAAATGGGCAAAGGATCTCAACAGACATTTTTCCAAAGAAGACAAACAGATGGCCAACAGGCACATGAAAAGATGCTCAGTATCACTAAATATCAGGGAAATGCAAACCAAAACTACAATGAGATATCACCTCACACCTGTCAGAATGGCTATAATTGAAAAGGCAAGAAATAACAAGTGTTGGAGAGGATGTGGAGGAAAGGGAACCCTCATATACTGCTGGTGGAAATGCAAACTCGTGCAGACATGATGGAAAACAGAATAGAGATTCCTCAAAAAATTAAGAATGTAACTACCATATGATCCAGCTATTCCACTTCTGGGTATTTATCCAAAGAACATGAAAACACTAGTTCAAAAAGATATTTGCACTCCTATGTTCATTGTGGCATCATTCACAATAGCCAAGACTTGGAAACAACCTAAGTGCCCATCAATGGATGAATGGATAAAGAAGATGTGGTATATATATACAACGGAATACTACTCAGTTATAAAAAAAAGATGAAATCTTGCCATCTGTGACAACATGGATGGACCTCAAGGGTATTATGCTAAGCGAAATAAGTCAGAGGGAGAAAACCAAATACCGTATGATTTCACTCATATGTGGAAGATAAAAACAACAACAACAAACACACACATAGATACAGAGATCAGATTGGTGGTTACCAGAGGGGAAGGAGGGAGGGAGAAGGGCAAAAGGGGTGATTAGGCATATGTGTGTGGTAATGGATTGTAATTAGCCTTTGGGTGGTGAACATGATATATTCTACACAGAAATTGAAATATAATGATGTACACCTGAAATTTATATGTTATAAACCAATGTTACCTCAATAAAAAAAATTTTTTTAAAAAGCAAGAAGAAAAAGGAATGAAAAAAAATATATAACCCCCAACAACAGTCAAATCTCACTGAAAAATTTAAAAAACTTTATATTTGCATATGCAAAGGGAAATGGCGCTTTTCTTATATCTGACTAACTTCCTCATCTTCCCCATTGCCATATGTGGATGGCTGAGTTTATAGTGAGGGATATTTGTGTCATTAGAGGAAGTGAGAAGAATGAAGTGACCCCATAAAGAACACGGACTCAGAAGGGAGGAAGGGGGTGAGGACCACTTGGGGAGCTGCAGGTACGGGGCCTTCGTGGAAGACGTGGAAAATCACAGGGCAGCGGACTTAAATGAGCAGGAAAGAATCCTTCCTTCACTCTAAGATTTGTCGAAACTACTAATAAACAATACGCAATGTAGAGGGACGGATTGTCAGACAAGACACCTTGAAAATAATTTTCATTGAACATGGCTGTGGCTATGAGGGTGAAAATAATAAGTAAATGATACACTACAGTATACAGAATTTGTTCACATACCAAGATATGATGTTGATCAGCAGTTCTCAAACTTTTTGGTTTGAGGAACCCTTTTGACAAAATTATGGACAACTCTAAAGAGCTTTAGTTTATGTAAGTTACATTTACCAATATGTGCTTTAGGAGAAATTAAAACTGAGAAAATTTTAAAACCTAAGAATACCCAAGCCTACATTTCCTTTGTATCAGAACATCCCACATCCTGTAGGCTCTGGACAACTCCACTGTAGGCTCTTGAGAGAACAGGGTTTAAAAAGGCAAGTAGCACCTTAGTATTATTACAAAAGTAGTTTTGACCTTGTGGACCCTCCTGAAAGGGTCTGGGGGACCCCCAGGCTCCCTGTACACACTTTAAGAACCGCTAATATAGACCAGACCTATGAGTTTTGGGGAGTTTCCTCCAGGGACCCCCAGCTTGGGCTTGTCAGGAGAAGAGGCAAATGGGCAGGTCCATGATTTCCGCATCCTTCTCCCGCTAGACAAACATATTCTTTTAAATATCTTTTTTTACATTTTATTTATCAGGATTCTAGCTAGATTCATCTTCCTTTGAATATAGAATTCCATGGCAAAAAAAAAAAAACATAGTTTTTAAACTACTAGTAGAATGTGTTTTATAAGATATAGTGCACAAGCGAGAGAAGAAACCCTAAGGATTCGAGAAAATATGGTCTTCATTTTTTAAAAAAAGGGAAATATTTCGATTGGGGATTGACACTTTAGTTGTAAGAACAGTGCAAACATTCTTTCTTAGAAGAAGCCAAAAAGTGTGTCAAATGAAAAAAAGTTCATAAAATACATATTATCAAAGAATATATATTATAGTAATATATAGTAATATTTATAAGTAAATGTATTTCTTCAGAAATCATTTATTGAATACTACTGTGTTTCTGGCACTAGGCTAGGTACAGCATAAATGTCCTTTTTAATTAAAAAAAAAATCAGTGAGTTCATTTTAGAGGTTGTGAAGGCAGGAGAGGGACGATGAAAGGGCAGTAACATCTACAGATGCCGTGGGGACACTGGTGAACTCTGGAATGGTGGCAGTTTTGAGAGATGGAGCCTCCAGCTGGAAGCCTGAAATCCAGGATCTGTTTGTAGGTCACCCACAGAAACGCTGAGTTACGGGGCAAATTTTAACTGTTCTGTGCTTCAGTGTCCCGAATCATGCCTCATCATGACCTCCTTTCAGCCTAAAGACAATAGAGCTATCAATATGAAAAAGTCTTAGAATTACAGGAGCCGACAATGAATTAAGTCAGGGTATTTTTAAACTTTTTGTTGAAGAATTACATGCTGACAAAAATGTGCACATCAGACTAGCAGCATCCAGATCGAGAGATGGACCATTACAAAGCTCCTCTCTGACCCCTCGTAGTCACTACCCACTCCCTCAGGGAAACTCCTCTTCTGGCTTCTAATGGCACAGATTGCTTTTGCTGTTTTTGTGCTTTGCATGCAAAATATACTCGTTTGTGTCTGGCTTCTTTCGCCCAACATTATTTTGTGAGATCCAACCATGTTGGTGAACATAGTTATAGACTGTGCCTTCTCAGTGCTATATACTGTGTGACTATGTCATAAGTGATGCATCCATTCTACTGTTGAGGTATTTGAGTCATTTCATATATTGCCTTTTAACCATAGAAAAGACCAGAGATTCTCTCTTATCCACAAGGTGGTATCCACAGATGAAATTCACCATCTCCTTTCTACTTTAAATTGGTCTGATCAAAGGAATTTTTTGCTTGTTTTCCTTCCATGTCAGGATTAGAGCTGATTTGACTATGAATTAAGTATTAATAATTTTGACTAGGAATTAGGAAAAGGAGAAGAGGTTAATATGTTGACAGCTGGGTCTACTGGACTCTTCCTAATTCCAAAGGAAACACACCTGACTTTTCATGGTGACCATTTCTCAAAAGAGGCAGTGTCTTGGGTTTCTTGGAGGGACAACATCCCGCACCCAGCTGGTGCTAATCAATATATGGTGACTGATGAACAGTGTGGTGGGTGGGTGTGTGGGAGGGGAGACAGCACCCAAACAGGATACTAAAAAAAAAAAGGGCACCTGAAATTACCAGTTTAGAAAATAAAACGATGTTTACGTAGAGAATAACACAATTTCTTATTCACACATCCCACCTATGACATTAATGAGAGACTTCACCTATGGCCATATGTCATGTTTTCCACCCCTAGTAGTTGGCAGATTTTTTACTTTGAAGTAGAAGAAGAAGAAAAAAAAAAAAAAGAACCAGAGCTGCCCTAAAAGGAATGAGGAAGTGAGGGCTCCCCAGTGTCTGGCTGGGTGTCCGTGTGACAGCCCGTGATGTTCTTTCCGGTCTCAGTAATATTCTGAATTTCCACCTGCCCGCCCCCTCGCCCTTATAATGCAGGACACGTGAAGTTAGAGCAGTTCCGTCTCCTTCTCTCCACCAGTGGATTAGTACGGGCAGAGTGTCATGCTGTTTCTCCCATTTTCCACAGTTCACCGGAGGTAAAAGAACTCTGGCTGGAGGCCCTCAGAGGGTAAGTAGCATAAATTAACATGACAAGAAAATAAGCTGCTAGCAGGTCACTGGTCTTTAAGATCATATCCAAAGAAAACAGCTATGCTGTGGAATATGCAACCAATAGTGTTATAAAGACACTGAACACGGAACGCTTTGCTACAATGTGAAGCCTGCACTTTTTGGGTATAGGAATTCTGTAAATGTTATCTTTGTTTTATGTCTGCTATAAGTAGCATCCTGGGAATAAGTTTTTTCTTTTTTGGGGGTAGATGAGAAAAATCCATGCAAAGCACTTAATATAGTACCTAATTCAGAGCTCTCCAAAAACGTGTTAGTTGTTATTGTAATTGTCATTTAGGTGATCTCTTGATGGGAATATAATAAATGAATAACAAAGTTTGGCATGGTGAAGATGTCAGGTTTAAATAATTTAGAAATAAGTGTGTTCAGATGCTGTGCTTAACGGCATAAAACAGCTGGTAACATCTAACTGATTTTAAATGAAAACTTTTCTACCTAATAGTTCCAAACTTTGTGTTTTGGCAAAGTGGCACTGAAATTGGCCAACTCATTATATGTGTCCCCCCTAACTCTTTCTCGTGTGACTTCTTGTAGACAGAGCCAAGGCCACACAGGAGCGAAATTCATCACTGGACAGTCAGCTCGAACTCTAATGAAGTTGATAGGCAGCTGCAATGTTGTAAGTGCCCCTTTCACATTTACTAATTCAAATTTCTAGAGTCAAGAGTCAAAGATGTTTACCGAATTTAACTTTTTCTTTTGTAGTCAAAAACACTAAATGCCAATAATATGGAGACATTAATTGAATGTCAATCAGAGGTAAGAAAGCAATTTTTAAAACTTTTTATCTGCACTGTGAGAATATGGAAAACTTTCTGTTGTAATTGAATATTGTTTGGAATATTTAGTCATCAGAGTAGAAAATTAACATCATAAATGCAGTAAATTAAACACATTAATGGGGATCTTATATGATGATAATCTAGACTTTAATATTGATTCTAGAAGCTAGAAAAAAATCAGTGGACTCTATTAACTAATTTTTAACATAAATAAAGGGCTGTATGTGTATTTTGTGGGGAAAGACTAGATAGGTTTCTTCAGTCATTGTTTTTAACTAAAATAAATATATTTTTAGGGTGATATCAAGGAACATCCTCTGTTGGTATCATGTGAGAGTGAAGATAGTATTTGCCACCTAATTGGTGAGTTTTGAAAACATACTGGTCTTTTATGTAAGTGCTAACAGCACATATTCTTGGTTTGCAAAACCACAGTTCTTTTCTCTACTAGGAATTTTTTTTTTTATAGTGTTCTTCTAAAGACCGCAGAACATTAACACTTAAATGACAGGCATGCTCCAGCTTACTGGAGCATCAGAGTACTCTAACAGAAAGATCCTTTCTATAGCCAACCCCCCAACTCTCCAAAGGGTTTAGTGGGGTTAACAGATCTCCCAGCCATTTATGTTTTGACAAGGAGAGCATGCATACATATGAAAAATACACAGTGCCTTTTCTGTTTTCTTCCTTCCTTAATGGAGAATAAATCTAAGAGCCCATTGTTGCTGATCTCAAATCTCAAAGAACACACCGTTCACTCTTAATTTTTTTCATAATGCCTTTCATTATAACATAACCCTGATTCAGTTCTCCTGAGCCATAAGGACAAGCCACTTCTCTCTCCAGCCTCTTCTACTTGCCAGTGTACAATGTATAGAAACATATGCCAATGCATTTAGAAAATAGAGCTTTTGTAATTAGGAAAAAAACAAGGAAGGAGAGGGAGAGAGAAAGAAGGCAACTTGTGAGATGCAATAGCCATTGCACACACGTCTTCTGGATTTTGCAAGGATCGAATATCTTGGCAAAGTTTTACTGATAATTCCCAAGTGCCAGGTCTAGGGTCAAGCCTTTCGGAAACAATTTGTGCCCGCCCTGTCCTAAAGCAGCCGCCAGCAGACCCTGAAGGTGACTGCAGACAGACTGAATGATGGAGCTCCCTCTGGTGGCTGTTTGGCACTAGCGTGGCTGCAAAGGTTTAATGCCTAGACCCGCCAAGAGCCTTCAAAATGATCTTGAGCAAGTCACTTCCTCTCCTTCTAAGTTTCGTTTTCTCCACTAGTCAAAGAAGGAAATTAAAATAATCTATTTTAAATCAAAAATGTTGACCATAGTTTTTAAGGTCAATATGTTAAGATGGTCGTTTATGACCTTCGCAGTTAGATTTTTGCTAATTTTCTGTAGCAAACAGCTGGTGAAGTTGATAAAAACAGGAAAGGTGGAGCCTTTGAGGAACCTTGGTGTTGATGTTTAGGGACTGGTTGCCCTGGTAACAATGTGGTTGTTTTTCGGATTGACTTTTCTAGATTAAGATCCACGCCCTTCACTTTCTCAGTTTTTCAAAATTATTTCCCCCACATGGCATACCATACATGACATTATGTGGATGACTATATCCATCATCTTATATGGATCTTTGCTATTCATATTTCAATCTGTTTTTTCTCTCTGCCTTGTTTTCTTGGTTGTAGAAATTAAGAAGAGCAAGAAGGTGCTGTTCTGGCCCTTTCACATGAGAAGGCTTTCTCCTTCATCAGATTTTTCTGCGGCTTCAGAGCCAGAGTTGAAAGCGTCACTATTTGATCAGCCCTTGTCAATTATATGCAGCGATGATGACACGCTCCCCAGACCCATTCAGGTAAGTGCTTATTTCCTTGTAAATCTACTTCAGTCTTCTGCCAAATGTGAAAAGTCCTTAGGAAATCTGAATGTCATTCTCGTGCTAACCTTGTTGGGGCCAATCTGTAGTTTTTTCCACTTTTGGAAATGGTGTTTCCACATGTGAGTGCAGTCAGGAGTATATCTGGCTGCTTCCATTCTAGAAATTAGTTGTATTTGCCAATGGGCTCAGAGGGATGGTCCCTCCATCCTTCTGACTTATGGAGATAAGAATGCTAAAAATGTGTAGCTTCTGAAAAATCAACAGACAGAGATGGGGGGTTGAGTAATGATCAGAAATCCAACGTTTATATGGAATGACTTGAAAGAAGGGAGGCCTGAAATAATTTTATAATGTGCAAAATTAGAGCTTTCACAATTTACCTCCTCTTAGAAAAAAGGCAGGGTTGAGGGAGACAGTTGATAGCAACTGGACTGAAAGGAAAAACTGTCATTAATAGTCTCTTGTTAAGACTATCTTAGTATCATAAAGAACTAGCTTTTATGGAGAGGATATTTTATGACAGGTAAAGTTAGCTACTGTTCACGTGCACAATTTTAATTCTCTTTCTCCCACCTAGACATAGATTTTCCTGTATTGGTAGTGGGAAAATGTGTGTTCAAACCAAGGGTAACCATTTCCTATTCTCATGCCTCTTTCTTATAGGATATTCTTACTATCCTATGCCTTAAAGGCCCTTCCACTGAAGGGATATTCAGGAAAGCAGCCAACGAGAAGGCCCGTAAAGAGCTTAAGGAGGAGCTCAACTCAGGAGGCATGGTGGATCTGAAGAGTCTCCCTGTGCACCTCCTGGCAGTGGTCTTGAAGGTGAGTTCACAGCATTGGTGCCAGAGAACGTGCCGGCAGGCTCTGACATATTAACTCTCAGGAAATAAGAAATGGGCTCTCCTCCCTACAAATCAACATAAACGGATCTTGGAGTTTAATTTTTTTTTGCTAAGACTTTTATTTATTTATATAAGTATCTTTGTTTCTATGACTCCAGATTCCAACAGAAAGTGATACATTAAGGTCCCCCAAATTTTGATGAGAAAGGGCACTTCGATTGTGGCCACATCCACACCCCTGAATCAGGTGGCCCCTCGGATGATGGCCTTATTGTGCCTGTCATTAGGAAGCTGCTGAGAGAGATTTCCCCAGACTAATCAAATACAGGAAGGAAGGGGGTGCAGCCTGTGGTAGGAGGAGCATAGGGTTCTTGAGATGGAACAAACAAGGTGAAGACGAAGACGCCAGCACATTATATAACACAAACAGGCCAAACCGTCCCCCTTTCATCTCCAGGACTTTCTCCGGAGTATCCCACTGAAGCTGCTTTCATGTGACCTGTTTGAGGAGTGGATGGGAGCCCTGGAGAAGCAGAGTGAGGAGGACAGGATCGAGGCCCTGAAACAGTAAGTCCCCAGAATCATTCCCAGAGGCCAGGCCTGCAGAGGCTCCATCTTTCCGTTCTTTATATAAGTATTTCATGAAAACTGTAAATGTTTAGGAAATCAGAGTGGAATTGTTCTACTCCAGGAATAAAAATCAGGAGGTACCCTGGAAATTTTGAAAAAGTAGTTTTAGCCAAATGAAAGGAAGCACTTCTTCAAAAGGTAGAAAATGAACTTCAATACTCACAAATCTCAAGACGTGAGGGAGCCTAAAAATATAAGTAGTTCAAGAAGGTGTGAGACAAAATCACAGATGGAAACCAGTTAACCAGCCAAGTGTAGGAATTTGGGTTTATCATGAACCTACATAGATTGGTGTTGTGCAAGATAACAATTCTCCCTTAAAACATCCCTTAAAGCATAGTAGAGAAATCTGGAAGGGATTGTTTTGTTCATAGAATTCTATAACATATTTCATAGTCTTATAATTAACCAAAATGAAACCTATATAAAAACAAATTCCAGTAACAGCAAAATAATCACATATGTAAATGAAAGTGTGACCCGTTAGTGACTAGAGAATCTTAAACTTTCAATCTAACTTTAAAATATCATCACTTTTGCCAAATCCTATGAAAGTCTGTCTATATATTATGATTGTCCCACATGGCTAAATATTTTCAATGAAATATTTATTGAAGACATGAGAGGCTCTGTCCCACGTTGAAAATCCTACAATTACCACAATAAGTTTCTACTTAAATACATAAAGCTCTTTCGTAACAGTAACTTATGAGAAATGAAAATGATCCCTGTATTTGAGTCACCATTTCATTTTTTGAAAAACTGAAGCTTTATAAATCTAATTTATTATTGTTAGTACCAATGTTGCCGTTCAAATGCTGCCTTGATCATATTTATGAACATGCCCTTATAAACTGATTTATTCTCCATAAATATTTCTCAGAATGGTATAAAAATGTGTCATCTTCATCTGATGACCACAGTTCAAAAAAAGGCAAATACTTGTATTCCAAAAAACCAGTCTTGCAGTGTTAGAAACAGAAAGACATTCTACATGGCTAAAGGATTACTCAACAAAATGATTTTCGAAGTGTATTAAACTAGGGAGTCTGTTGCAGGAGTTGAGGCTTCATAATTTAAGATCTATGTGAATAACAAAGGGTTATGTTATTGGGGTCCTAATTTTAGAGACTAGTTTCTGAGGTCTTCAAGATCTCGTGGTTAACCAGTTTCATTCCCTGTCAGTTGCCACTGGAAGTGTCTGTATGAACATTGCACAAGTTACTTGTGAAAATGCACCTTCCTCATTTTAAAGGAAGTCTGGGTTAGGCAGAAACTTTCAACTTGCTACACGAAATAGACCATCAACCGCCTCCTCTAAAACTGGCTTCCCTGAACTGCATTCCAGGGTTGCAGAAAAGCTCCCCCGGCCCAACCTCCTGCTGCTCAAGCACCTGGTGTCCGTGCTCTACCTGATCAGCAAGAACGCCGAGGTCAACAAGATGGACGCCAGCAACCTAGCTATCTGCGTCGGACCCAACATGCTGGCCCGCGAGGACGACCAAAACCTGTCATTCGAAGCCCAGAAAGACTTGAACAACAAGGTTTGTTCCAGTCTATTTCTGAGAAACCCCCGATTTATGATCTCACCATCTGTTTGCAAAAGCCAAGCAATGAAATGCCTCTGAATTTCTCTGACTGACTCGAGATCATGGTGAAAATCTGAAAGGCAGGATGCTTGTGTGATCGTTCTGCTCCCTGAGATGCATGCATCTGATGAAACTGAATAAACCCAGGACTGTGTCCTTTGTCATCCTACGAGACAGAGAATAAGTGCTGTAGATTTTACATCACTGTCTCCCAGGATAGAAAGGCCTTTTCATTTTTCTATTTCTTTTGCGTGTCACACTGTCAGTCCAACTACCAATTTGGTGAACTCCTCATTTAAATGAAAAATGTAGTTACTTTAAAGATTTTTTTTTTAATTCTCAAATCAAAAATACGTCTCAAAAATAACTTTAATATAGATGATTGTTACCAGTTTTCTGGATGCTCTTTTCAGACACATAAAAATCTCTAACGCTCAGTTTGGTACCTCCCTGACAGCTGACCCCGACTATGTCCCCATTCTTTCCCCACTCCTCTTAAAAAAAATAAGTAAAGATGTCTTTAAGATGACAACCTGCTAATTTTTCCCCGCAGGTTAAGGCATTGGTGGAATTCCTCATCGACAACTGCTTCGAAATATTTGGGGAGAACATTCCGGTACATTCCAGCATCGCTTCTGATGACTCCCTGGAACACACTGACAGTTCAGGTACAGAACATACTCCTGAGAGATTATGACTGTGGGGAAAAGTTCATGCCAGTCTGCCAGTCCATGCCGGTAACAAAAATATCTCTGGTATTTGAAACAGAAGTTACCTTCACAAATCACCAAATCAGAGTAGACTTGAGCCCATAGGGAAGTCTTTAGACATGAAAACTTTGCTTTCGAATTTTCCTGCAATATCTCCTCAGGCTGCAGACACTAGTTCCACTTCAGCCTGGAACTTTCCCCCTTCCTGTTCTAAATCATAAAGAACTGCTACTTTTACTAGGTTAACTTTAGCTAGAGGGTTGGGGTAAGAAATTGTTGTTTCCACATAATGGAATATGGGTCCATTAAAATGGAATGATTCCAATAAAATAGCTATCCAAAGGATCAATTTTAAAATTGAAGATCAACAAATTTTCAGTGAGATGCTGTTTTCTCTCTTTTCTCTCTCTCTCTCTCTCTCTCATTTCCTTTTCCTATTTCTCTTCTATACCTCAAAATAATAGATTTGGAAAGAGACAAAATTTTAATGTGGCAAATTTCTTTCATATCAAGCCCCAAAGTAGCTTCATCAGATTACCTAGTGCCATACTTGATGTAAGTAGGGTGAACTGTAGTGAAGTTTGTTTCTAAAAGTAATTGAACAAAAAGCTCAACTGTCTCTTACCTTCCCCCAGACATGTCGACCCTGCAGAATGACTCAGCCTATGACAGCAACGATCCTGATGTGGAATCCAACAGTGCCATCAACTCTCCAAGCAGGCAGCCCCAGGTGCCCTCGGAGACGGCCGCTGGCTTGGAGCCCAGAGGCCCGGAGCACACTTGGGAGCTAGGCCGGGAGCCCATTGTTAGCACTGTAGCCAGGCTGAAAAGTTCCCTGAGTCAACCAGACAGGAGGTACTCAGAACCCAACATGTCATCCTCACGCGAGTGCGAGAGCCGGAAAACAACCCAAAAACTGACGCGAAGTGAGGATGACTTCACCGTGGCCCAGGCAGGCTCTCATTTTGAAAGTGATGAAAGTGAGGACCCATTTCCGGAGGAGGTGTTCCCTGCAGCTGAAGGCAAAAAACAGAGGCCACAGGACCTGAAGCTGAAGAACTGGACTCAGGGTCTGGTGTTACCGTGGGGACTGGTCCCCAAAGCCTTCTCCAGTGGCTCTCTGGATGCTTCCTCTGACAGCTCCCCCATCGCTTCCCCTTCCAGTCTCCAAAGAAATTTCTTTACCAGACATCAGTCTTTCACCAAGACTGAGAAAAGTAAGCCCAGCAGAGAAATTAAAAAACACTCCATGTCATTCTCCTTTGCCTCTCACAAAAAAGTGCTGACCAAACCCCCCAGCTTTGGGTCTGGGAAATCCAAAGGCCTTCCCAGAGACCACGTAAAGAAAGGTTTGAAGAAAGAAAGCCAACTTGCTGGCCGAATCGTCCAGGAAGACTTGTCTGAAATCCACAGCCAAACTACTCTAGACTTTAGTTCCAGATCCTACACCCTCTCCGTGGAGGATGTGTTCCAACTAGTTGACCAGAGAAGCCCTGGAAGTCCACCATCTTACGAAGAGGCCATTCGGTGCCAGGCATTGGAACTCACGGCCTATGGGAACCAAACAGTTGGCAGCATGAGGGCCAGGATGCTCAGCCAGGACACCGGACTACCCCCTCTTCTGCCTCTTCACCATGGTGGGGATTCCAGAAATATATGCAGTCCAGAGCCGCTTGATGGGCACAGGACTGAGAGTTGGAAACAGAGCAGGACTGTCTGTACTTCTGTGGAAACAGTAGGGCAAGTGACTGTCCCAAGGAGGCCTCAGCTGCACCGGCTAAGAACCGTGTCCGAGTCAAAACAGAAGACCAAGTGGGACTACCTGGTGCGGCGATGTAGTCAGCCAGTCTTTGAGGCTGACCAGCTCCAGTATGCTAGAGAATCCTACATTTAGGAAGGCAGGCCAGACACCATCCCCCAGCTGGTGGTATCTCTGTAAATGCACGACTGTAGAAAGAACTGCTTTGAGACTCTATTTTCAAAAAAGTCAAGAATAAGCTCCTTTAGAAAAGTTGTATAGAGCCCACCTCAAAGAGGATAGTTCCATGAGGCACTCAGATGGTGTCTGTGTTTACCTGAATTTGGGCGACATGTAGCAAATGTATAAAATGTATTCTAGACAAGGTGTTTGGTGCAAAGATGTCCACATAAGTATGTGTATATATTTGTTTGTGACCTTAGGGTCAACTGCATTGCTGTTCTCTGCCTCCTGGGGCGCTTTTCTACTGGTTAGTGTTTAAAAATAATTGTTTCTTTTTTTATGTTGCCTCAAATGTCATGACAATTTTCACATTTTCCAGAAACTCCATTGAAAGGAAAATGTTTAAATCTCGTTAGAAGTTTACTCGAATTAGCAGCTTTGTGATAACTAATCACCACAGTAAGAAGACAAAGACTGCAAGGAATAGAGTTTGGGGTTTAGAGTTATTAAAGGCATTGCAAACTCCAGTAAAAGAAAAGTATGGAAAATACTTAAATATGTCCTTTTAATCATCTAACTTTAAATTTGGGCAGATTAGTAAAAATGCATTATGTCAATATTGCACTTTGAGTTTCTTTGTAGTTCAATGATGTCTTCTCCAATAGTGTGGAGGAAATTACTTTATATGTGTTGGAGGTCCTATGTAAGACTTCAGTGTAATTTCACTACAATAAATTGCCTTCCTTATTTCAAAGTAAAAAGGTTCATTCTTTACTGACATGTTGCTTCCTCTCCCTCGGTTCACAGAAACCCACCGAGAAAATCATTCACACGTTGGTTCATTCAACAAGTAGTTATTGAATATATATTCATTATTCTAGATTAATAGGCAGGCTGGGGATCTTGTGTTAAGGAAGAGACAATCCCTCTTCTCCAGAAGTTTGCAAAACCATAAAAATGTACCCACTTTAAGCCATTTTTTCAGCAAACAGTCACTCAGAGGCCAGAAAATGTAGTATGCAAACACAGGGTAATATAGCAAATACAATATTTCCTGTTATTAGTAAAGTAAATTTTTCAGTACTTTTACAAATCTTATTTTTATGATGCTCAGTTTGCTTATTAGGAAACCTAATGGTAAAATGTTTGTCCTATGTTAGAACTTTAATGCTCAATGATTAAGATATTTATCCAGTATCTTGGAGAGAATGGACTTCTATTTTCCTTATTTTATCAACTTCTTTCCTAAAATACTGAGCATGTTTTTGATTTACTAAAGAAATATTTTTCTGTTGGCTAGCTACCAGATGGTGAAGACCTATTCTTTTCAGCAGTGATTTATTAATAATGTGGTACAAAGTTAAAAATGTTGTAACCCAGATTGCTCAAAGCAGCATGTTCAGACCTGATAACATCATTAATAATACTTTATTAGGCACACCAATAATGTATAAATTTCAAGGGTCAGACACTGTCCCCCCCACCGACTGCTAATTTAAGAAAAGCAATCTTTTTTCCAGAATCGGACACTAATAGTTATAGTTACAAATTTTAGCATCTATGACATGCCAAGCACTGTGCTAAGTATTTCAGGATTGAACAAAAAAATCCTCCATCATGTTTTTAGCAACTTCTTATTGAGAATCAGAGAATTCTCATCAATAGATGCCTAAGACTATAAGCTACAAAGGTTCAAATCTATTCCGCTTGACCACTGACCTGTCTTCCAGTGACCTACCCAGATCATGAAAACCCTACCCCAACTTTCCTTATTTTAAAAAAAGTAGGAGTGAGACTGAGTCTTCTACCTGTCACAGGTAAGTAGGACAGTTTGCTAACAAACATTCAGGAGCTTCTTGCAGTCAAGCAAATGTCATTATTGTTAGTGTCTTTGAACAGCAGAGAAAAAGGTACAGTGACTATTTCAGATATTGCAGTGTGGTGTTCCCACTTCCATCCACGAAGTCCTCTGGCCTTTTAAAATAGGACTGCCCAACCTGGTTGCCAAGGGAATTAGTCAGCTAGGGCTGCCATATCAAAGTACCACCACCAAGTGGCTTACACAGCAGAAACATACTGTCTCACAGTTCGAGAGACTAGAACTGAAATCAAGGTGCAGGCAGAGGGCCCAAGCTTACAGTGAGATCTGGATGATACTAAGATGATACTGTAGTCAAGGTCCCAGGAACACCAGAGTTCTGTCCTCCATGGACCTCCTAAGGGCCACACAATCACAAATGTGCCTGACACCCCAGTGCAAAAAGTATGGTAAAAACAGGTTGAAAGTCAAGGCCTAAGTTGGGGCTTCAACCTATAGGTCTGATCCCCAGCCTCTGAGCCACTGGGCCTTCCCAGCACCCACGCATTACCCTGCCTGAGACTAGCGTAGGAAGGACCCTGGCCCCCTTACCAACTGACAGGCTGGAAAGCACACACAGTTAATGTGCCCATTGGTGAACATCCAGCATTGACTGTCCTGGGATCCGACTGAACAGACTGGAATTTCTTCCTCTTGCGGAAGGTAGGAAATTTTCTCTCCTTCTATAAAGGGGGGGAGGGGTGGGTTGCCACATGAGCTTGCCAGCATCCACATGATACACTGTGATTACCTGTGAAGACCCACTGTGCCCACCTCACCCCAGCACCACCCAGGACTTGGTCCAGAAATGTTGACTTGTGGAAGTTAACCAAGGCTGGGTGCTCGTGCTGGAACTCAGCAAAACTGCCATCACCCCCCGGCTCCAGCCCAGCAAATACAATACCTGTGTTACACTGGGGTCCGTGAGCAGATGAAGTGGCAACGATGGGCTTATAGTGCTAACAAAACAGATAATAGTTCATGGTCACAGTGCTTCCCATGGCCATAGATGAGAATGTCCAAAGGGCAATAAACACTGTTTGTCCTAACACACTATTAAAAGAATAAATTCTAGCTGAATTTACGATTGCTATCTCACTGGAAGGACCGCCAGTACATGCCTTTCTCCTGAAGGGTCAAGTAGACGGAAACCCACATCAGATGGGGTCTCGCATATTTCGAGTTTCTTTTTTAACTGAATTATCTAGGATCTTAACTCTTTATCTGCAAAGGGAAAATTACTGAGCAATCAGAGTGTAAACATTTTGCTACAGATAGAAGTGAATCACTTGGGGGGCAATATTTTAAATGTCGACTGAGACCTGCGTCTTGTCCACTCCAGAGTACAAATTAAATGTGAAGGAGGAAAAACCAACGGGATGAAGTGGTACCCTCCTCCTATGATAGGCTACAAAGAGAGGACATTGTGAGACAAGCAAATCTGCAGAATGCAAAATCTTGCCAGAAAAAGGAAACGCAATGATAACATCTCCATAGGAAAAGAAAGACAATGTGTTGGCACAAGAAAGAGTACATGACCCAAATTCACAAGGCCTGAGTCCACACCCTAAATGTGCTGCCATGGACCAGGTACTAAACCTGTCTGAGCATCAGTTTCTCCATCTGTGAAATAAGGATAATGGTAACACCACATCAGTTGTGGAATGCATGTAACAGAAAACCCAGATAGGCTTAAACAAGAAGGGGATTATGCTCTCTATTAAAAGAAGAGCAGACAGGCAGTCCAGGGCTGGCACGGTGGCTCCATGACACCCTCGGGCTCCAGGGTCCTTCAAGCCCAGGTCCAGCTTCACTGGCATGTGACTCGGTGCAGTCACATAGGGCCGCATGCTGAGAAGGCCCAGCACTGGGGTTGATGCTCTGCTGTTGGCATTTTCATTTTGTGCTGCACCCTGCAAACTATGTAGCTAGTCTTATTCACACTTTCTAGCTTTCTAGTTCACCATCCTTCCTGTAAGCATGATCCTCCTCCTCCAGCTGGAGGAGGAACTTTCTTGCTCAATAACTTCTACCTACATCCCAGTGGCCACAACTCAGTCATATGGCTACTCTTACCTGCAGAGGAGTCTAAGAAACAGTTTTTCATAGGCACATTGCTTCCTCCTTCTTTCTTTAGTAAGAAAGAAGAGGACGATGGATTATGCACACGAACTATTAGCCCTTGACGCAAAAATCAAATGAAAGAGATAGTGGATATGGTACAACATACTAATTTAGTTGTTCTAACAATAGAAAGCAGGATAAAGCACAGATTATCTATTTTGTATGTTAAGACAACTGTGAAAATGTTGAATATGACTAGAGATAACATAAAGATAAGGCAGATAATAATCTCAGAGTATTTCAATTATTTACATGCACATTGTGAGAATTTCATGATTACACACGACTTGTTTTAAGTAAAATAAATTAATAACAAACATGAATTGACCTCCTATAATACAAAAGATACTGTACTTGTATAAGGAATTTACAATCTAGTAGAGACATGAGACATCCTTTAAGGAAAAGATAAGTTCCAAATGAGTGATAACAACATAAAGTGCGATGGTAGACATGAATGACTGCTTTATTACCCAATTAATTTTAAGATATACTTCAAATTTAAAGCTTCCTATATGAAATTCCAAAGTCAGTAATGAAAGGTTTCAGCCACATGTATGACATTCCGGAAACAGTCATGAGAGGTTCTGGGTGGGCCTTCATTTATGTGATTGGACCATATCATCTTTGAGAAGAAAATAGATAAGACTCCTTTTTTCCATCTTTGCTGAAAAAGGTGTTTCCTATCCAAAACTGTTTTGGAAAATACCAAGTACTAGATAAGATAACTGCTAATTTGTGGGATATGCTAATAAGTTCAACTTTTCAAAACAACACTTATATCTTGTTACTTTCCTAACCAAAGATCCCCAGTGGCTTCTTAATACTATTTTTATCAAGTCTAAAATCCTCTGCCTACCACCTACCATTCAGGGCCCACCTTAATCCAGCTCCATCCTAGGAAACCAAACATTCTTTTTCTTAACTCTCCAGCGGCTTTCTACCATAAATAATAATAATAACAACAGCTAATATGAAATACATATGTGTACACTATCTTTCAGAACCTGAAACATAGCTAAAGCAATGTTCAGATGAAAATTCATGTCCTTATATATTAATAAACAAAAATAAAAAGTGAATGTATTCAGCATACCATTCATGAAGTTAGAAAAGGAATAATAAAAATAAAGTTGAAATTAATAATTTAGAAAACAGAAAATGAGTAGAACTGACAAAACCAAAGCTAGCTCTCTGAAAACAAACGTCTGCCTAATCCAAGCTAGGAAAAGAGAGAAATCACAATTACACAACATAAGAAGTGATAATGGGAAATAACAACAGAGACTGAAAATTAAAAGAATCAAAGGACTCCTTTGCTGAACTCCATGCAAATGCATTTTAAAACGTGAATGAGATAACCATCTTTTTAGAAAAACATAATTTACTAACCTAATTCCAGAAAAGAGAGAAAATCTAAACAGGTATATTTCGTATAAGAAACAGAGAAAATGACAGATCACTCTTATGAATATCAATGCAAAAAATCCTAAATAAAATATTAGCAGACAGAATGCATAAACACCAAGTAGAGTGAGTACAGGAATGCAAGTGTGATTCAATGTAGGAAATTTACTAACATAATGCATCATTTTACTAAGTTTTAGGGAAAACACAATCAGTTCCATAGATACTGATAAGGTGCCTGTCAAAATTTAATCTCCAGGGGCTGGCCCAGTGGCACAAGCAGTTAAGTGTGCGAGCTCCGCTGCGGCAACCCAGGGTTAGCCGGTTTGGATCCTGGGCGTGCACCGACGCACTGCTT